ATATTTTAAGCAGTCGCTGAGTAGAGCATCATGATGTGGAGCTGAAAGTGCCTGAATGCTTTCAAAGGTCGGCTTTTGGTTGTAGCCCAGCCATCCCACGAGTGCTGAGGTGGAGGCACGGCATTGCCGTCGTGGGGCAGGCAGGGATGGGCAGCCTCTGCCAGGTGAGCTCCTTCTGGGGCATCTTGCGGGCAGAGACCACAGCTCTTCCCAGCTCTCTGACCAAGTACCACAGACCTGCGGGATTTTCTGAAACTCTAAAATAGAACTTAAACCCTTCACTGATGGCCCGAGCTCTGACGGTTGAAGAGGGTGGAAGTGATTTTGTTTTCCCACCTGCGCTGTCACACAGCAACACCAGCGATATAACCCGTCAGCCCTTGCGCATCCTCTGCCACCGGTTTCCCCCTCAATTGCATGTATTTAATTCTGTGTTATCCAGCCACGGGCCTCTTGGTGACAAAACTGGAGGCAGGGCTGTCAGTGATGGTCAGATTTGCAGCGATACTTGCACTATCAAGTGTATCTGAGCTGCATTTTTATGTAGGACAGGATGTGTGGAGTTAACATGAAGCACTTCCAGTGGCATCCCATAGTGTACCAGCCCTGCACAAACACTACTATACTGCGAAAGTATACACTACTGCCTGCAAAAGCAAGTCAGGAATGAAGTCAGGTGTCAGGAATGAAGTCAGGTATCAGGAAGCCTAGACCAGGTCTTCCCAGCAGCATGAACATGTCTCCTATAAATTCTAGGCTATTGCAGGCATGTCTCACCCAGGGACAAGGTTTTTACCTTCAGTCAGTTTCACTTTGGAAAATTCCTAACTGATGCATGTGCTTGATATCACAACTTTAATAACATTAGCAGTGCTAGCAGAAATAGGAATAAAATTATAAGACCCAAAGCTAAGTGGAGCCACACTTTAAATTGCAGAGGTCCAAGAAGGTAGCATAGGCATTTAGCACTCCTCATTCTCACCAGGATGATCAGCTTCAAATGACGCCCGCAGGCAGCTTTAGGAATCGGACCTTTTGCATTTCTGAAGACGTCATCCTGAGCAGCACCTTAAGGTACTGGCTTTGCTGTCACAGGTTTGGGAGCTTCAGACTTAACTTGGGAAGCGCTAACCCCAAACATAGTGAGGATATCTGATCTCTCCCCTGCTTGCCGTATGGGCACATGCAGGACATTTCTGCTCCGCATCCCCTTTCCTGCACCCCACGACGTGGGGAGGAATGCCCCCTCCTGTTCCCAGTGTGGGACAACCACTGCTGGGGGGGCAAAGGGAGGCCCAGGGTGCACCGAGGGGACAAAGAGACCGAGTGGGGACTGTGAGGGGGAAGGACGGGGTAAAGGAGATGCAGGGCGCTAATTTTTCTGCTGGCCCTTGCAGGCACCACTGGTGCAGGGCTGGTGTGTATGTACCTCTCTGCAGGTGGCTTTTCCACAGGCACCCGGTCCCGGCTGAAGGGGTGCTGCGGGCATGAGGGCAGCTGGAGGACACCGTTCTGGTGGTGGTGTAATAGGTGTGATTAAAACCCTTTTTCCTTCCCCTTCCCCACTACCCTTTCTGTGCAGTGTCCGGGGCTCCCGGCAGCAGCTCAGGAAGGTGCGGGGCTGCCCTGGTCCCAGCGGGGCGAGGGGCCGCGGGGCGCTGCGGAGGTCCCCTGGGGGAGGGGACAGAGGGGACAACCCTCCCCCTCTCCCGTCAGCGCCGCAGCTCCTGCAGATACCAGCACCCCAAAACGGCCCGGGCGCCCTGCCCGCTCCGCCGGGGCTCTCCTCCGTTCCCGCTCCCCCCCCGGGAGGTGGGGGGTGGGTGGGAGGCGGCTCCCAAGCCCCGGGGCACCGGGAAAAATAGAAAATAATCTCCGGCCCTCACGGGCTTTTATTCCCACCCTTCCCCAATTTTCACCTCTAAAATAATAGTTAAAAATTAGCCCCGTCTCGGAGCTTTGCCATGCTCTGAACCTGCGGGAGGCGAAGGTGGGAGAAGGGGGGGTGGGAGCCATGGGATGGACGAAATGCGGTCAAAGTTAGGTTTGCTTTTATTTTTTTAAAAATTTATTTATTCATTTTTTTTTCTCAATTCGAAATCGGGAATTACTGCCTGAGGAGCAGATACTCCGTTTTATTGGCTCCCCAAAAAAAAAAAAAAAAAAAAATTAAAACCAAATTTTCCCCACCAGATACGTTTTTTTTCCGTTGAAAGCAGAATTAAAACAATACGTGCGAGTAGGTGCCATTAAACCTAAGCCGTCTTTTGCTGTTAATCACCGGACAGAATGCTTAGAAAAGTCAGTCAAGGAGCACTGTGTTTTAAACGCAAAAATCCAGATTTTAGGAAGAGCATGCTGAGGGGAAGAGGACTGAAGCAGCCCAAGAAACAAGGAGGGACTCTTAATAAAAGTTAAAATTCAGTGTGAGGTTACTTCTCGATAGCGTACAGAACATGTTCCTGCAAGGGATTTGTGGTTGTGAAATGCATCCCTTGCTAAAATACCGTTTGATGCTTTCGTCGAAGAGGAAACCAAAACAATCTTTTCCTTTTAAGTCCCGATTTCAAAACAAAACCAAGAGAAAAGAAGAAAAAAAAATCCCTCTAAATTTGAAACTGCAGCTTTGAACAGCTTTCCTGGCGATATTTGCTTCAAACCTCACAGGCGGAGTGCCCCTGGTGTTCCCGAGGTCTCCCTGCCCTCCCTTCCCCCGTTTCTGCTGCTCGGATGGTGGGTTCAGAAGCAAATGCCCTGCTAAATAATTGCTAGAATTTGAAAAAAAAAAAAAAAAAAAAAAAAAGAGAGAGAAAAAAAAGAGAAAATGCGCACCAGCATTCAGGTGCTAACCTACTTATTTGAAAGTAATTTATTTTCCATTTTGCCCGTTTTCCCCCTTTAAAACAGAACGCTGAAAGAAAGAATAAGTGCTTTAACATTTCAATGTTGTGCTCTGGTAATTACTTTTTCACTTTTCCCCTAAGTTCCAATGTGAAAACCTCACAGGGGGGTCTTTGCTGTAGCAGGGCTACAGTTCCCAATCCCAAGCGCAAGATCTGCAATTACAAACCCATTCGGTGCCCTTCCCTATCATTAATATGCACAAAATCCTGCCGCTAATCTTATAATCTGTTTTGTTTCATCAATTGCTTGCCTAGCACCAGGCGGGAAAGAAAAAGAGAGAAAGAAAAAGAAAGAAAGAGGAGAAGAATAAAGCCGGAAAAAACACGGAAAGCTTCCTAAAGTAAACGAAAAAAAAACAAATAAATCGGATTTTTTTTTTTTTTTTCATTATAAAGCGAAAATCGTTAAGACTCTTAAATGGAAGCAGGAGTTTCCGCCGGAGCGGGGGTGCGCGTCAGGGAAATTTAAGGAGAAATCTGCATATATCCGACACTTTATTTGCATATTTGATTTCTCCGCGTACGGGTCACGGAATGAAGTTACTTAAGCAGTCGGTTGCGCAAGCGAGAGGTTGCGCCTAAACACCTCCAGAGTGCTGATTATTATTTCTTGGATTTCTTTGGACGAGGGAGAGGAGGCGGCGGGGGGATGGGGATGGGGTTGGGGTGCGCCCCCGCCGCCCCCCGCGGCCGCGCAGCTCTCCGCGGGCTTGTCACACGTTGGCATTAAGCCTTCAGTAAAACAATAAAGACATTATTATTTTTTTTAAATCCATTCCCCCCCCACCCCCGGGGGGGCCGCGGTATTAAGGGAATAAAACAATCTACGCCACACGGCTCCTATTGAGATTAATGAAAAAATTATGCAAAAAACCCCAAACCCCACCAACCCCAAAACCCAAACCCAAACCCTGTATCTCATAAATCTCATTTTCCGTTCCCTGCGCCAGGCCTCGCCGCCGTCTTGCTTTGCACCTGATGATTTATTATCGTAATCTACGGGGATAACGACACGTTGTGCCCAGCTCCGGCTTGCCCCAGCTCATCTTCTAAGTAATTGTTTCTCATTAGTTCTGATCATGTTTTAATAGCGTTACCCATAATTTACTCAGCCAAGAATTAATAACGGGGGTGGGGGTGGGGTGAGGGGGTGCGAGGCGCAATATAAACAGGTAGTCTTTAATTAATCTGATTAGCCTGGAGGTCCCCGCGCTGTAAGGGATCACCCGGCGCAGCGCCCGGGGTGGAGGGAGGTGGTGGTGGGGTGTGGACCCGCGTTTCTCATCCCCAAATTCTCTGAAAAGGGGG